CTCTCTGCTGCGAGCCTTGGTCTTATCAGCTTGTTTACGTCACCGTTCGCTCTTGGGAGCCTCGCGTCAGCCTCGTGGGATCTCCTGTGGTCTTCTGGGGGCCGAGGGTTCGGAGTGTCCGATCGGACGGCAGAGGCGGGACTCGGCTCCTGCCTGAGCTCTTCGCGAGAGCTGTTGGGCGCTGCCTCAGCACGCACTCAGTCCTTCTCCGTCTTGGGCTTCTTCTTCTTCGGCGCGTCGTCTTCGGGGGTGGAGTCGGAGTCCGTGGGCGAGGGCGATCATCGGCCTTCATATTCGGCTGCTTATTAGTAATCTTGTCCGCCGCCTTCTTACCCTTCTTATTATCCTCAGGCTGTTCCTTATTGTCCTTATTGTCTTCATTCTCCTCCTCCTTCTGTTCCTGCTTCGACGCGCCCTCCTTCGTTAAGCGCAACTGCGCAGAGCGCTGCAGCAGGGCCTCGCTAGTGAAGACCATTGCATTGCTGCTGGGCATGGCCTCGACAGCACGCTCGGTGAGAAACGGCATCAAATTCGCTCGATGGTGATCGTCGTCGTAGCACAACGCCAAGACGCCGGCGCCCTTCTCGATGCAACCGCGCATGCCCGCTCCGCCCGCAGGCGCCCCGAAGTACACCCACCGGGGCCTCCCCGCCTCGCGACACAGCTCCATGAGGAACTCGGCGGCGTTGTCGTGGGGGAACCACGGCACCTGTGCCCGTGAGCTGGCGGTAGGAGCTTCCGCCTCTTCACGGCCGCGTTCACGAGCTGCTTCTCGGGCGTCCCAGCTGTTGCAGTATCCGCTGTTGCAGCATCAGGGGCGTCCTCGTCGTCGTTCGGCGGGGGTTCCAGCAGCCCGTCTTTCTGGCGCTCCTGGGCCTCCACCTCGGCGACGCACGTGCCGACCATCGACTGCAAGCTCGTCTGACGGTCCTGTTTGGACACGAGGGCGCGGCTCTTCTGGGGGAGGACGGGCACATTCTTCACCACTTCGCACCAGACGGCGCTGCCTCCGTCCACGTGCTCCCTGACCTTGGGAAGGCGCATCGGGATCTTACCCTTGTAGGCGAGCAACATCACCTCGTGGCTGCGGGAATTCGCGGCGCCTCTCTGCCTCCTGAAATGCCCGCACTGCTGCATCTGCTTGAGGTTGTAGCAAAGGTGGAATTGCAGGAAGTTGTAGCCGTTCTCACTAAGGATCTTCTTGATCTTGGGGAGGTTTGACTGCGCGCGGCCCGTGAGCACCCAACACACGCCCCGCCCATGGACCATGAGCGGAGATAGGGACTTGAGGTAGCGTTCAAAGTCTGCCTCCTCCAGCGCAAGCTCTCGGTGGGTGAGCCCTTGCCCCTCGAAGACGTTGCACGACCACGCATTCTTGACGTCGTAGCAACCCATCACTGTTCACTGTTGCAGCGTCCGCGAGGTTCTTGTAAAAAACGAGTCTGCGTGACGGTTTGGTAGATTTCCACATCTGCACCCTCCGCAACGAGCATGACCGCCCGCCCCTCGAGCTCCGCCGCGCACGCCTCCTCGCACATCTTCCTGAAGGAAGTCGCATCGCCCGGAGAGACCTCGACTTTCTTCTTCTCCTCGGAAGCCACCTCCTTCCCGATCCCTTTGGCGCCGCCCGCTGCCGCCTCGTCCTCGATTTTTTCTCATCTGGAACTGGCTTGGAGACTCCCAAGAGGCTGTCGTGCGCGATCTGGAAGGGCTCGAAGAAACGCTTCACCACTCGCTGGCCCTTGCGGGACTTCTCCAAGCTGCACCGCTCGCTCCTCGGTTGCGAGAGAGCGCCTGCGATCTCCGACTTGTAGAAGCCCTGGCCTAAGACGAGGAAGTACCTCATCGTCAGCCGCAGCGCCTCGCTCGGCAGGGACTGGATCCAGGTCGGGCCCTTGTCAGGGCCCTCGGTCTGCAGGAAAAACTGCAGCGGGCCGTCGAGGTGGGACCTGGCCGCGCGAACAACTTTGGCCCTGGAGAGACACCCCTGCGTGCCCTGGCCCCCCCCTCTGTTGCAGCCGGTGCCAGATATGAACAGGTCTGGGCGCTGCCGCAGAAAGGCCGACACGTAGGCCCTCACCCAGAGGATCTCGTTGCTTACGTCATTCAGAGCACACCCGCTGGCGCACGGGCCCTTCTTGTTCGTCCGCCACATCCTCGTGAACAAGGCTTCGACGACGTAACCCAGCGAGAGGTGGTCGGTTTTTATAACGATCGCCCCAAGCTTCGTTGGCCAATCCAGCAGATTGTCTCTCCCCCAGCGGGCCACGGCCGTCTCCATGAGCGCCAGTGCTGCCGGGCGCTTCGCGAGGGCAGCCCAATTCAGCATGCGCCTCTTCACTGCGCCCACGTCAGGACAGTGGTGGGCGCCCCACGTCACGTTATTCACCAGCCACTCGTGAACCTTATCTGGCGCTGGCGGCCCGCCCCCCGTCGCATGGGCCCGGGCGACGTCCGCCGCCTTGGCCGCAATGCGGAAGAGGTTCGAGTTCTCCAGCCCGAAGAAGTCGCGCAGGCGCTCGGCGCGGGCCGACGCGTCCACTGCCCACTTGAACTTGTTTTCCTCGATCTCCTCAGCCGCGCCACCCTTGATGTGGGCGAAATCGAAGGGCCAATCAAGAATCAACTCTTCGAGCGCTGGCGCAGCCTCCATTGAGCCTTCTTCTTTTGCCCAATACACGGCCAATCACGCTGCGTTCGCCACGACGCCCATGGCCAATTGCTTGAACTTGCCGAGCTCGGGCGCCATCAACTGGTTCACGCTGGTGACCATGATTGGGATCTCGGAACCTTTCTCAACCTGTTTCGGGATGTTCCAAAGCAGCCGGCCGCTCGCGCTTAGGGCCTCCACGGCCCGCCGCTGCGGCTTACTCTGCGGGGGGCCATCGACGTCGCCAGCCGCCCCCCCAGGCTCGGCCGCTGTTTCAGCCGCCGCGTTCGTCGGCTGGTTCTTCAGAAACATATCCGCAGCCACGTTCTCCACCTTGCCCAGCGATATCGCATCCTGAAGCATGCCGTTATCGATCGGCCCTGTCCACGCCAAGTTCACGTAGGCATTCCTGCGCCCGCCCTTCTCCTTCGCCTCCTCGATGGTCCTTGCGAGCTTCTCCTGAACTGGGTCCTCATCCTTCCTCCTAGCAGTCTCCCCCTCAGGCTTCTCCTTGTCATCCTTGTCCTTCTTGTTCTTTTCCGCCCACTCCTTCTCCACTCTCGGCGATGCGCTTCGGAGTGGTTTTCACGAGCCTCTCGTAATCGGTCTGGATGGCGGGCCAGATCGCTTGTCCAAAACTCATTGAACGGCTGCCCGGACGACTGCATCGCGCGCTGACGGACTGTCGCAGCTGCTGGCCGTTTGTCACAGCTAGCGCGCCCGTTGCAGGTCTGGCTCTGGCCGAGAGCGCCATGGAAAAGGAGGGGAAGCGAGCGAGGAGGAAGCGGGGGGGAGGAGGCGGCATATTGGAATATTGAGACCACTTCGCGCCTGCTCCTGGGTGGCCTCGACGCGTGAATACTCAAGGTTCCAGCACGGGGCCGCCATGTCGGGTCTCCCTCGGGGTGGCCGGGGCACGTAAGAACACCTGGCTCCAGCGCGGGACCACCATCTTAGACACCACCTGCGGCCCAGAAGCTCCTGGCCAACTCCATGAAACAGGACAACGAAATGACGATAACGGACCAGCTGCTGGACACGGGACCACCATCGTTCCTCACAGCATGCCCCCCGTAGTCTTGCCCCCCCCCCGCTGCGGATACTTGGGACAGAGCGCGCGGTGCAAATCTAACGTTGCAAACGAGTGCGGGCAGGACCTTTGAATTGGTCGGCCCCCTGGGAACCCACAAGAACGCGGCAGGGACACATCAAAAAAATCCTGACGAGGCTCAAGCCATTTGGCCCAGGTCATTTGCGCGCGCAACGACTGCGCGTAGGGATCGCTGGGGCAGCGTTGACGCCGTGGCGGTCTAATGCGCAGTCTCAAGTTGCGCACCGCCTTACAGGATACATCGATATGTTGACGTCCGTGCCCGATGATATGTGGCTAGACGTTGCTTTGCAGCTGCGAAGCTGTTGCAGCGATGCGATGATGCTGTTGCAGCCGTGCAAGGACTCTCTATCGCTGTTGCAGCGATGCTGTTTTTTCCAAAGCGCGCGCCATGCATCCCCGGCACATTCTAACATCCTATGTTAGATCACAATTTGTGGTCTAACATAGCATGTTAGATCACAACTTTGATCTAATATACCAGGTTAGATCACAACGTGTGATCTACCATGCTATGTTAGAGCAGCAAGTGCGCTCTATCTTGCCATGGTAGAGCAGAAAGTGTGCTCTACAGCCAAAGTTGTGATCTAACATGTTGCGATATATCACAACGTGTGATCTAACATAGCAGGTTAGATCACAAATTGTGGTCCAACATACCATGTTAGATCACACATTGTGATCTAACATAGCATGTTAGATCACAACTGATTTGCCCGAACATGCTATATTAGACAGAAAGTGTGCTCTAACATGCTCTGTTACAGCTCAATTTCTGCCAGGAAAGGCACCCCCCAGGAGCTCTTCAAACTGCGCAGACGGCAAGGACGTGATTCCCCAGTTTCTACCACAGCTCCGCGCAACGAGTTCGCCACCACTGCGCCTGATGGCGCTGCGGACATCAGAGCAGAGCGAGAGCGGCAGAAATCCGCGGGCGATAAAAGGAAAAAGAAGAAAAGGCGGCAAGACACCGACACCGCCTATTAGGCGGTTTCGGTGAGCTGCCGGTCTAACATGCTATGTTAGATCACATATGATCTAACATGCCATGTTAGATCACACTTTGTGATGTGGATATGTCCCTCCCTCTCTTTCTCTTTTGTTTTTCTCTCTCTCTCTCTCTCTCTCTCTCTCTCTCTCCCTCTCTCTCTCTCTCTCTCTCTCTCTCTCTCTCTCTCTCTCTCTCTCTCTCTTTGCCACTTTCCCTCTGTCTGTCGCTATCCCTCTCCTGCAGTGCGCCTGCGGCGGCGCTGCCCGCCGTCGGGGACCTGCGGCGGGGGGGCGGGGGAAAAGCAGGGCAGGTGGGGAAGAGCAGGGGAATCGATGGCAGCGCTGGTGGGCGCATGTCTGTCGCGGTCAGCCCAGACCGCATCCGCGCTCGCGGTGGGCCCTGTTACTGCACCCCGGGCGATCAAGCAGCCTTGACGAGCTCCCCCCCGCCCCACCAGCACTGACTTGCGCGTAGGCAGCCGCGGGAGGCAGCCATGCGGCGGGGACAGCCAGCCGCGGCAACGATGGGGCCTGTGGGACAGCGAGCGGGGGAACGATGCGGGACCTGAAGGGGGGAGTTATTGCCCCTGTCACAGCCAAGGAGGAACTGATTGTAGCTGTTGCTGCCAACGGATCTGCATGCTTACCAATGAGATCAGCATGATTCAGGGGCGCTGTTGCCAGCACCCAGGACATGCTTGAGGTGATCATAGCCCCCTTGGCACCTTTTATCGCGGCACCTGTCCTGGGCGCGCTTAGGAAGATGCGGGAAACTGGCTGGCGATGTTCAGGCAGCGATAATGCGCGACCGAAAGACTTCAAAGTGTCAGACCAGATTTTGCCCCAGTCTGAATAGGATTCGGAGCCCTCGGACGGCGCCGCCACCAACGCGGACGCGAATGAAGAGCCCCCCCCCCTGACTGACGGGCTGAGCGCGGGGGAACTGGCCGATCGGGCGCGGGTCCGCAAAGACATTGATATGATCACCAGCAGCAGGAAGTGGCATTAAGAGATGGAACCCTGGCTGGCGACGGCCGTCGCACGCCAGCTTGCCCTTCCGACAGAGGGCGGAGGAGGAGCAGGAGCAGGCGGAGGAAGGGACAGGGGGGGATGAACGCCAGGGCCACGAGCAGCCGTTTCAGCCAGGAGGCAAAGGGATGCAGGAGCAAGAAGGATAGGGGATGGGAGAGCTTGCATCCAGGAAGGAAGGGGGAGGGAAGCTGGAGAGCACGCGAAGCAATCATCCACGAGATGAGCGCGGCCTGAGTTCCTGCGAAAACAACGCAGCCTGCAGCCGATTGTTGCGACGCGGGGGCGCGCAATTTTGTCAATGCAAGCATCCTTCATCGAATTGAAGGCGCGCAGAGCACGCTTTGGACCGAAACGCGCTGGCGCGCGGCCAGCGAAGTGCATTCATTCATTCCAAGCAAATCCCCTGCGGGGTGCCGTGGAATACGAAAGTGCCGCACTGGGCAACAGATTAGCACGCTGGCCTCGCTGGCGACGTCTGTGCTGCACCAGCCTGCTGGCCTTGGCGGCTGAACACTTAATAAGTGGGGTCGCTGTTGCAGCCAATGCCTGGTCAAGCTGTCCGCGGGGCTCGCCCGAGGTTGCAACGGTCTAAGCTTTGCGTGCGCGGCCCTGTGGCCCTGTGACACTGCGAAGCTCCGCCAATGCGGCAGCAGTCTCAGTATCATCCTCGTGGACGGGCACGGGCGGCTCCATGTCTGAGTCTGACTCCGCCTCGCACACCCTCTCGGCCGCGTTGCTCCACTCGCCCTGCGCAACCAGGGGCGCAACCTTATTGTACAGAAGCTGCGGGTGGGGCCTCCTGTGGTATCGCCCGCGTACGTTGACGTAGACATTGATCAGGATGCCGAAGATGTCACGACGAAAGCAGTGGCCGTTGCACGGCCTCCAGTTGCGGCGCACTTGGAGGCCGCCGATCCAATACTTATTCTCCAGGCGGCAGCTGCCCCACTCTGCGTGGCGCACAAAGCGGGCGTAGTACTGGTGAGTCGGCTCGACGCGGCAGAACACCACGTCCCCGACGGCAATGGGGGACTCGTCCTTCTCGATGACGCGGGGGGGCCCGTCCATCGCTGTCATCGCCTGGATCGGGTGGAAGAGGCAGTGGTCGCCCGACTGCACCAGAGGCCACATGCTGTTCCCCGAGCTCGAGTAGAAGACGGGAGCGCCCGCCACGAGGCGCTCTATTATCATCCCGTTCCTCTTGTCCAGAAGCCTCATCTCCTTCTCCCGCGCGTCGGGGTCATTGCACGAGTGCGGTACTCTCGCCCAGTCCGCGCGCAACGCCTGCGCCGCCTCATGCGGGCTTGACAACACCAAGGGTGGGATCCGATTCGGTTTCGGGGGCAGCTGGGCAGCCTGCAGGCACCACGGCGATCCGCTTGTATTTCGCGGGGTCCTTCCCACGCAAGTACACTGGTACGTCTTGGAGGGCTGCTGCAGCTGATTGCCACTTGAGAGTACTGCGGATCGCCGCCAGCTGACCCCGGCCCGCCATGTCCTCGTCGCACTGGCGTCGTGCAGCCTCCGCCGCCTCAAGCTGACCTGCCTTCGCAGCCGAGGCGGTCGTGCTCCGCCGATATCCCCCAACGTTGCGACTCGGCTCAGCCTGCACGTGTTCCTGCCGATCTCGCTCTTCCTGGTCGGCGAAGCCCAAGCTATGCACGTCCATCTCTGCCCGAACCTGCGCTCGCGGCGGCGGTGCCCCGCGGGGGCCCGCGGCGGCGGCGGCGGCGCCTCTGGCGGCGGGACGTGATGGGGAAGGCGCTTCGGCGCTGGCGCTGGTGCGATCACGCCAGGGCCCCGATGGGGCGCCGCCATGGGTGGAGCCAGTGGTGGTCGGCTCACGGGCCTCGCTTTCGGTGCTGGTAGGGCCGCCGTGGCTGGACCCAGCGTTGGCCCCATCGACGGGGGCCTCAGTTTCGCTGATGGCCCAGGCGATGGCCCCTGGCCTGGGGCACGCAATTGGTCAGGCGGCCCAGGCGTCTTCGGCTACGTCCTGGGGAGGCCGTAATCCTCAGGGACTAAGTCCTGCTGACCCCTCTTCTTCTCCCGCCACGGCGCGCATGCCTGCCAATCCCGATGATCTGCAGATGGCGCAGCCGACGGTGATCCTGAAGTAGGCGGCGCGACAGGAGCACCAGAGGCCGCCCCAGGCAGCAAGAGCGCAGGCCCATCACGCAGCACGTCCACGGGAGCTGTTGCAGCCGACGATGCCCCAGCCGACGCTGCCCGCGCCTGCGTCCGCGCCATCGACTCTCGGCAGGCTCCCCCCAGCGCCTCCGCCTGCTCGCGCATTTCCCCCTGGCCGGGCTGAGGAACACGCCCCCCGCCCGCCTGCTGGCGCATGTCCTCGCACTGGCAGGCGCAGTACTGGATATCGCCGCAGCCCCAGTCTGATGGCGGGCCCGAGCGACTGGATGCCACGCCGTCCTCCTCGGCAAACTCGCCCTCCTCCTCAGGGATAGCGCCGTCGCCCTCATCCATCGGGCTCTCCTCACGCGCCCCCCCCCCCGTGGCGCTGGAGGAGCGCGGCTCGGACGAGGTCGGCTCCGAGCGCGGCCCGTTCCAGCGCGGCCCGGACGAGGTCCGACGAGCGCGGCTGGAGGAGCGCCCCCCTCGGGCTCCGCGTCGCGGGGCCCCTCGGCGCCTTCGGGTGCCATGTCGTTCGGGTTGCCTGAGGGCCCAGCTGTTGCAGCCGTAGGTTGAGCTCGGCGGTGGAGCCACGGAGCCGGCGCCGTCGGCGGTGGAGCTGGCGCTTGTTGGCATCGCCGAGGCCTCTGGACTGTGATATTTGGCGGAGGCGGGGGATGGGCCGCCCCGTGCATTATCATTTGGGCGTTCCACGCGCGCCCCCCCTCGCTCATCTGCCGCACTGCTGCGCCACCAAGGCCTCCGTAGGGCCCCGACTGATTTTCCCGGGCCATTTCCCTGTCCCTGGTGATCTGGTCGCGTTCGTTCAAACTGCGCATCTTGTAAGCGATCCAGCGCGCACGGCGCTCACATTCCAGAACTGCTTCTCTGTCGTCAACCTCTGCTGCATATCCCCGCAGGATCCTGTTTCGCTCGATTTGCTCGCGCAATCCCTTGCGGTAGTTCTTCAGGAACTCGTACTTGCCGACCTGAAGCTGGAAGGCTAGCCAAATCTGGGGGTGGGGCCGTGATACAACAGTGCCCCAGAGTGCCATGATATGGGAGCTCTAACATGCGATGTTCGAGCTCAAAGGTAGATCTAACATGCTCTGGCATGCCATGTTAGAGCCCACTTTCTAATATAGCATACTATGTTAGATCTCCATTTCTACTCGAATATGCTATGTTAGATCTCCAGTTCTACTCTAACATGCTATGTTAGATCACATATGTGATCTACAATGCTACGTTAGATCTAACATGCTATTGTAGATCACACTTTGTGATCTAACATGCTATGTTAGATCGCAAAGATGATCTAACATGCCATGTGAGATCACACTTTGTGATCTAACATGCTACGCTAGATCTCAACTTGAGCTCTAACATGCTATGTTAGAGCTCCATTGCGGCACGCCCCAGACATGCCTCCTGCTTCTGCGGACGGACCCCCTGCGCTTTCTGGCCCAAAACATATAGAAGCTTACATGAATCCTCCATCTCCTCCCCCCCCTGAACCGCTGCCCCTGGGCGGGGCCATCCAGGCGCGCTGCGCGGCCTCCTAAAAGACAGCCGGCACCCACGTCGGGCGCCCGCGGGAGGCGGCGGCCACCCATTTTGGGCCGGTTGTTGCGTCACTCCCCCGCCTCCTCCTTGCATGTATGCATATATGAAGCGAGAGGGGCGGGGAGTACCACAGCTACCCTGGATTTGGCTGACCTGACCTCGCGAGGCCAGTATTCCTGGCCGCCCTTGCCCTTGCCCTTGCGCCCCTGGCCCTCGCCCGCGCCGCCCTTGCCGCGGCCGCCCCTCTGCTGCGCTGTTGCAGCCGAAGAGGGGGCGCGACAGCCTGAGAGTCGGGCGCGCAGGCCTGGCGGTCGCAGCTGTTGCACCGTCGGCGGGGAGCCGTTGCAGCTGCCGCAGCTGTGGCCAGAGGGGGAGATTGCGTTGCGCCGTTGCAGCCGTCGGCGGGGATCGCAGCCACGGTTTCGCTGAGAAAACCGTGGACTGCGCGGCGCGCCCGAAGCTGGGGCAAGCGCAATGGAAGACGACCCCCATGCCCACACCTGACTTGCCCTGCTCGCCTCCCCGACGCTCTGAACCCCACCCCCCCGCCTCCGCCCCCGGCAACTGGCGACCTTGAGGCCCCCAGCGGCGGGCAGCGCCGCCCACGGCAGCGGCGCCCCTTAGGGGCGCGGGGGGCACGGGGAGGGATGGGCGCGGGGGGCGCGGGCAAGAGGCCACTTTGGCTCAAGTGGCCGCTTTGGTGCGCAGTGCCGAATCAGTTGGGAGCAATCGTCTTGTTGCGCCTCGCGAGGGCGGCGCAGCCTCTAGCCTCGCTGGTCGCGTCTCGCGGGGCGGCCAGCGAGGTTGGCACCATAAATGTTGCGTCTTTGAGACGCAGGCGATCTTTTTTATTCTGAGCTATGAGACGGAGGCGATCTTTGTTTTTTCTGAACCTCCTCACGACGGATTATGAGACGGATGCGATCTTTCTTTTTTTTCCTGAACCTCCTTACGCTCTCTTAGCCTTCCTAACTACTGCCAGGGCACCGTGCTGCAACGGGCGCGTCGAAGCGCAGAATCCAATTGTTCGGACTGTTGTGGATCTGTTTGCAGGCCTTCTTGACCTCCGTCTCTTCCCCTGAGCGGCACAACACGCAAGCCCGCTGCACCAGTCGGGGCATGTCTTCGGCATGCTTCTTGAAAAACCTGCTGAGCTCCTTGGGGCCCAGGCAATAGATCACGCACCCACTCGGCGCCTCGGAAAGGGCTCGCAACATGCGGGGCAGTGTAGGGAGGCATGCTTCGAGAGCCGCTGTTACAGCGACATGGTAGCTTGTGTTAGAGCTCCGAAGCTTCTCGGTGCACTGGATGCCTTCCGGAGAGTCCCGCTGTGCAAAATCAGCGGGCGCCGTGTAGAAAGCCCCCGTGAACGCCGCTGCAATCTGAGCGGCGATGCCGAAGTCTGTGTCGGACGTGGCAGCCAACACAACGTTCCCTTTCCTCCGCGCTGCGTGGCTGCCCTGCTTGGCCAGGCGCCTCAGGAAGTCCGCGGGGTCGTAAACCAACTGGAAAGTGCAGGCGCTGCGCCTTGCGATGCGCCGCCGCCTCTCCCCTGCGAACCAGCACGAGGTCAGGGGGGCGCGCGGGGGCCATGTAAGCGTCGCGGCCCACAGGTCCTGGCCCTGGACTGCGCAAGACTTTCTTCTCCCGCGCACCCCTGGCCTTGGCGGCGGCCTCCGCCCCTGCGAGATTGCGCTCCCGCACCTTGGCTTCCCGCTCGGCAACGGTGGCCGCGACTGTTGCAGCTTGGCGGACTGGATCTGCCGCGCTCGCCTGGGCCGCTTCCTGCGCCGCCGCAGCGAGATCGGGGCCGGCCTCCGCGAGAAGGCGAGCGCGCTTGCTCTCTCGCGACGAAGCCTACCTCTGTCCGACGCCCTGGCCGAGGCTCTCTGGTGGTTCCCCTGTCACGTCGCTGCGATCTCCCCCTGGAGGCGCCCGTGAAACTTGAGCACTTGTCTGTACCAACGCGCGCTGGCAGAGCTCTCGTCCCGCCCCTGCTGGTCCAGCCACGCGCGCAACAACTTGCTGGGGGGCGCTTCGTCCACGAGCGTGCACTCCTCAACGGTAACGCCCAAGATTCGAGCCCTCTCGGGGCAATGCACCTCAGAGAAATGGCGGGATCGCCGCTCCACGTTGCCCGTGCTCGTTCTCTTAGACCAGGAAGAGCTCCACGAGACTACGGCCGATGGCGAGCTCAGACCACTGCGCAGCAGCGCGGCCCCAGGCCTGCCGCGTGGTGCTCCCGTCTCGGTGACACTCCTCGGCGCGCCTCAAAATTTGCCGCAGCCGGGGGGCTGCCCGCTGCTCGGGGAGGTTTTCCACGCGGCAGATGCGCTTCAGGCAGGCCCCAGCTTCCGTCGCGTGCCCCGCTGCGCCCGCGTCTGTCGCAGACAAGGGAGAAGGCAGTCGAAACGCAGTAAATGCGTGCAACCATGAGTGCTCTGGCCGATACAGCTTCATGTCCCCCTTCACGTTGGCAACGATCTTCTGCGCCCGTCGAAGAGCCGCCTTGGTGGCATCGCGGGCTGGGCCCTCCGCGCGCCAATCGCCGAGGCCCACCTGGTGGACGCCGTCGCCGCGCGGGCAGCGGGGCGCGCGCCGCAAAAACTCCAGGGGCTCGCCCGCGAAAGTGGGGAGCATGCCCACAACCGCCCCCTGGACGAACAGCGTGTCCAGGCTTGAGATGAAATCGTTGGCCCTAGCTTGAACGGTTGCAGCGTCGGGGTTGCCCTTGTCTCCGGTAGCGCCCCAGGAGTAGTGCTCCGCGCACAAGTCCGCCAGCAGCGCCCCCAGGAGCAGGCGCGAACCGTTCTCGCCCCCGAGCCCTCCCAGGAAAGATCGGGCGAGAATGCGCCGATCCTGGTCACTCCCCTGGGACTCCTCTCCGAGCGCATTGAAGATAACGTTCCAACGCCGGCTCTCCCGTGCCAAGGGCCTCGCCCGACTGTTGAAACGCGGGGGGGCCCAGCCGAAGTTTTTGGCGAACGCAATGTCGTCTGCCACCTGTTGCACCCCCACTTTGTTGCGGAACGCGGTGGAATTAGTCAGGAACTTGGCCAGGCTCGGCGGCTTCTCACCCGTGACCAGCAGCTGGTCCGTTATCCTGATCTCGCTGTCCTCTTTCATGGAGTTGGCCAGGAGCTTCTGGGCCGAATGCGACTCGCCCCACGCGTGGAATGCCAGCCCAGGGAACGCGCGCGCTGCAAGCAGGGGAACAGATAGATCAGCCCCATCGCTGCACCATGCCCGCATTTCCCCTCGCACGTGCATGTACAAGTCCACGCCCAGTTCCCCGCCCGCCGTCTGGCACGCGCGACGGACGCACTCCTCCAGCATGGAAGCCTTGCCGTCGCCGTCCATGGCCCGCGGGAACTCCCGCATCCCGATCACCCGCTCCGCAATCCAGGGCCCTCGGGGGCCCAGCTGCTCCAGCCAGCCTGCCTTGAGATCGCACGTGGAGGGAAAGTCCAGAGCCTTCGGGATCGACCACAACACCGTGCCAATCTCAACTTGGCACGTGCGGTCGAGGCCGTCCGCAGCCAAACGAAAAACAGCACCCTCTTTGAGAATCCTCTGCGTCACGATCTTCTCGCACTGAGCCAATGTGGCCACCACCTTCCGGCGCTGCTGAAAAGACTCCAAAGCTGCGCGGTCCTGCCCGAGGAGCGCATCCCGCCAGACATCGAAACTTCTGGAGGAACTGGGCGTCTCCATGAGTGCACGGGCGGCGACCACTGCGCGGCCGCCAACGCGCTGGTCGGCGGCGTGGACGACGACGGGCGCCTGCGCGGCGGCCCTTGCAGCTGTTGCAGCCGTTGTGGGGCCTTCCACTCGAACCTGGCGTTGTGCGCCTTCCGCTCGAATCCGCTCTTTCCACGCCGCCTCTGCTGCCTGGTGCTCCTGGCCCTGCGCGTGCCGCACGAGGTTCTGGCGACGGCCGAAACTCCCAGCGCCTTGCCCAATGGTGGATTGACAACGAGGGCCCTTGAACGCCGAGCAAAACAAACAGATTGCATATCTACCACCTGCGCAGCCTATCCAAGTTTCAGGCTTCAGGGTGACTGGATTCGTCGCAGACAGAGAGGCGCTCCACTTTTCTTTGTTTTCCCAAACTTGCAAGCGCCGCACGTCGTGACGTGCTTTCGGTAGTTTTGACTGGCGACGTGCTCCTCCAGGGTCATGGAAACAATGTCGACCTTCTCGACTACTTTGCTCGGGGCGGCCTTCGCAGCCGCGGCTGACTCGGCGCTGGAGCCCGGGTCCTCGTCGGAGCCGCTGCCGGAGCCGCTGTTGGAGTCGCTGTCGGAGCCGCTCTTGGAGACGTCGGCCTCGGCAACTCCGTCGGCGTCGGCAACTCCGTCGGCGTCGGCAACTCCATCGGAGTCGTCGGCGTCGGACGCTCCGTCAGCGTCGGCGCCCGAGCTGTTGCAGCCGCGGCTCGACGGGGCCGCTCTCGATGAGGCCCTCGACGAGGACGAGGCCGCAGGGCTCGACGGGGCCGCTGTCGATGAGGCCCTCGGCGAGGACGAGGGGGCCGCGCTCGACGATGGGGCCCTCGACGAGGACGAGGGGGCCGCAAGGCTCGTCAGGGCCGCGCTCGACGATGGGGCCGCAGGGCTCGTCGATGGGGCCGCAGGGCTGCTCGATGGGGCCGCGGGCGCGCTGGAGGACATGGCCTTGACCCAAGTGCTACGGACGTTGATGATGATGATAAATTCGATTGTCGTTCGTCGAAGAATCATCAGCATCATCATCAGCTCCACCATCATCATCATCATCATCATCATCATCATCATCAGCAGCAGCAGCAGCATCATCATCATCAGCAGCAGCAGCAGCATCAGCATCAGCATCAGCATCAGCATCAGCATCAGCATCATCATCATCATCATCATCATCATCATCATCATCATCATCATCATCATCATCATCATCATCATCATCATCATCATCATCATGATCATCATGATCATCATTGCATCATCACTATCACCATCACCATCTTGCATGACCATTACGATGATCCTCATCGCCATCACCACTACGATAGCCACCATCATCACCATCACCATGACCATCACCACGGGGGGGGCTCAACTAACTCAACTAAAACCCGCCCTAAAGACAGCCAGGCAAAAGATCCGATGCATAGTGCAGAAATGGGGGTCGCATTGACCTTTGCCATTGAGCCTCAGAACAGCACTCACTGATCCAATGTTGACGGCCGCGTCAAAAGCAGAAGTACAGGGGGACCGCTTCACAAACGTGGTCTAAAGCGAAAAAACTTGGACAAGTCGGGTAACTCGGAGGTCTTTGAACGGCCAGCGGGCCCAGAAGATGTATCGGGCGCCGCGGCAGTTCCTGAACTTTCTGGAACTGACTGAAAACTCTCTTAAAGCGCACTCGACCAATGTATTCGTGTCCTAAGGCTGACTGATACTCAACCGTCTCTCGCGAACGAGCACTCGCCGCTGCGCCACCATGGCCACCATGCAGGGACGGCGCGCTTGCGACTGGCCAGCAGTCGACCGTTCAATGATATCGAGGCGGCCAGGGCTGGCTGGGAGTGGAATCTTGCGCCACTGGCGATCTGCGCGGACACCCTTGGCAAGCATGATTGGGGACGGCATGAGTGGAAGACATGCCTCTCTGAACCGTCCCCGTCCCCAATCTCCGAAGACATGATTGTTTCGTGACGTGGGCCCCCCGGAGTTCCTGACCCTTCCCCTGGACTTGTCTGTCTGCCCTTTATCGTTTCTTGATGGTAATTGCCAGGGCCCGAAACGGGCCTCTAGAGGCTGGGAAACTGGAAAACAAGGCGTGTCGAAATATTCGCGCCGAAGGGGGTCTGGGTCACTCGGCATCCCTCGTACCCGTTGTCCTCGTCATCGTCGCTGAGCTGCAGGAAGCGCTCCAGGCGGCAGGAGGAGTGCTCTGCCTCGGAACGGGCACGGACGAGGGATCAACGACAGGGGCCGAGGAGAGCCGCTTCACCAGGAGAGGCGCGGGGATCAGGCGGAGGAAGGCCGAGGACCGCTGAGCTGGTAAGAAAGAAGACGAAAAAGAGAAGAACCCGGACGTCTGGCGCTCCAGTGTTTTCGGTGCGCGGCACCTGGCGGTTGGCTCCTCCTGGGCAGGGCGCTGACGGTCCCAGGGCCCGTTGTGGGACCACCGCAGACCGAATGGAGGGGATAGGGGAAAGCGGAGGCAAGGGGGTGGAGGGCAGCAGGGATGAGGGGGTCCAGGGACACACAAATGAGTAGACACAAATCCCAGGGTTCTCCAAATTTTCCAACCTGTGTTTGCCTTTCGTCTCCTCAACTTCCATGTTTCCCCATATTATCCTGCATCATTCTCGAAATCAAACGCAAGTTATTCCCGCGACGCGACGGCGCCCCAGGACACCAAAATTCCAACGTCCGGGCCGAAATTGGCGACTGCAAACACAAAAATCTGACCCCGTGGGCCGCGTTTCGCGCGTCGACCAACATTAAAAACTTGAGTTCGACTTCGAGGAGCGCTGTGGGAATCGACGAGTCTGACCCTTATTTGTGGCTGTGCCTGTTTTTCCCTTCTGAAGGAGGGAGGCGGGAGGCGGGAGGGCGGGAGGGCACGAGAGGGGAGGCGGGAGGGGGGGCAGTGCAGGGCGGTGCAGGGGCGGTACAGGGCGCGCGGAGCGCGCGGAGTGCGGGGGAGAGCGCGGAGAGCGGGGGAGCGGAAGGTGGCGAGGAGAAGGTGCGCGGAGGAGGGAGGCACGAGGAGAGCGAGGGCAGGGAGGACGAGTGAGAGAGGAGAGGGCGGCAGGGGAGGAGGGGAGGAGGGAGGAGGGGTAGGGCAGGGGGGGACAAGGGAGGGAGCGGCGGCAGCCAGCTGGGCGGTTTGAAGGCGAGGGTGCGCTCAGCCAGGGCGAGGACAGCGCATTGCGAACAAGCCTTCCTCCATCCGCATCGCTCCTGGCTATGTTTGACGAATGTGCGCGGCCCGGGAGCGAAAGTTGCATTCGTGCCATCGGCTGTGATCATGGTCTGCGCGACAATATCTGGCCATAAGCCCTGACCGCCCTGACGGCACGCCCGCTGGTGCCAGAAGGCGCTAGACCTTTGACAGGACGAGCCATGTGCTGACGAGGATGACTGATGAGGGTTGGCGGCGCGCACGAGGGGTTGGAGGGGGGAGGGGGGAAGGACAGGACTCCAAGAAGCAGGGGCGCTTCCGAGAAGCCCTCCGGCTTTCCTCCTCATCCCTCCTCCCAATCCCTCCTCCTCCTCCCCCCTCCTCCTCCCTCCCCTCCCCTCCCCCCTACTCTTCCTCCTCTTCCTCCTCCTCCTCCTCCTCCTCCTCCTCCTCCAATTCCTCCTCCTCCCCTCCCTCCCCCTCCCCCTCCCCCTCCCCTCCTCCTCCTCCTCCTCCTCCTCCTCCTCCTCCTCCTCCTCCTCCTCTCCTCCTCCTCCTCCTCATCATCATCATCATCATCATCATCATCATCATCATCATCATTCATCACATCAGCAGCAGCAGCAGCAGCATCAGCATCAGCATCAGCATCAGCATCAGCATCATCAGCATCATCATCATCAGCATCAGCATCATCATCACATCATCATCATCATCATCATCATCATCATCATCATCATCATCATCATCATCATCATCATCATCATCATCATCATCACCCTCACCCTCCTCGTCTGCCTGCCTATTGGCCCGTGAAAGCTCGTCCCCATGGGTCGTCACCGCTTTCGCCTTCTCATGGAAAGCCACTACGCCGAGCCCCGTCGCGTGCGCTCGCGGACTCGGGACGGCAGGACATTCGTAATCGGTAGCCGCACCGAGGCCGAGGGCGAGGGGTGGCTTCGAAGGAGAAAAGGAAAACGACGGAGGAATGGCACCAGAGGAGTGGGGAGAGGATAAGGAGGAGGAGGAGGAGGAGGAGGAGAAGGAGGAGGAGGAGATGGAGGAGGAGGAGGAGCAGGAGCAGGAGAAGGAGAAGAGGAGGGGAAAGAGGAAGAAGGAAGGATAAAGAAGCGGGTGGAACGGGAGGAGGAAGGAGAAGGTCAACGGGCAGCAGCAGCAGCAGCAGCAGCAGCAGCAGCAGCAGGTAACAGGGGATATGTCGACCCCTATCCCAGGCTTCGTGGGGATTCCGAATGGACCAGAAATTTGGGGCCTAACCCTGGGATATACGATGGGGGGGGTGTCCATTCTCGATAGGGGTGCGTCCGAATAGCCCCCTTGGGGTGTATCCCAAGGTTTTCCCACTCTTCTGAGCGGCCAGACTTTTCGGGCGAAACTCGGGGATTGGGGGAGAAACATCGCCCGCGAGCAGGGGGAGCAAGACCAGGAGCGGGAGGATGGCGGCGATATTGCTGACTTCTCGGGCGGAGCCACCCCCTGGCCCATGTAGCCGTGAGGCAGGAGCATCACCAAGCCCGTCTGCTGGAGCCACTTGTGCTCTCCGGCGGAGATGAACTGGGCCGGGAAGGCGTGGGAGGGCGTGCGCCCACGCCCGCGTCTGCCCGGCCGAAACGTGCCGGTGCGGCAGACACGGCGCGAGGCACGAGAATGCACGCGCGCGCGGGCCACCGTGGCGTGCAGCGTGCGCACACGCGCCACCGTGCTCCTCTCCTCCTCCCTCTCCCCGCTTAACCCCGTTGCGACCACCACTCCGCCATTACAACAACCTGTCCAGCCAGACACCAGCCCAATCCCCCCCGCCTCCCCAAGACCCCTCCCCCTCGTGAGTGGCGAGGGAGGCACGAGGCAAGAGACAACTCCCAATTCGTCAAAAACGGCGGCCGCGCGCAGAGCTGGGAGGAGGCGCCGGGGCGCTGCTCATTTGGTCGCCTGACACATTTGAATTCCCAATCCTCTCACACTCCGACGAACCCCCCGCGACAGACACCCAAATGGTTTCCACCGCCGCGGCAAGCCATGGAGGGGGATGTCAATGGGGGGAGGACTGGGCTGCTGGCCGCAAAAAGGCCCCATTTGGTGCCCACGCCTCCCCCGCCCTGCCCCGTACAAGGAAGCCGGCGTTGAACGATGTGCCACCTGCTTCGCGCCGCCTCCGGCGCTGCCCTGCCGCGCGCCCGCCTGCAGGCTGCGCGCCCAGGCCCAGGCGTCCCGTCCTGACCGCCTACCAGACCACCACGACCCAACCCGAATACCCTAATTTCGAATTGGGGGGATACGGGTTCCGCGAGTGTTTCTCAATGTTAACCGACCCCACCCCCACTGGGAATGGAGGGCATATTGGGGCCTTCGAGTTGGGTTGGAATGGTTTGGTGGTTGGTGACGTCCGTCTCGCTCGAAAATTAAGGTGCGAAGAAAGTATAAAAGAAACTGTTCCGCCGTAGGGGGCGCCTGCTCCCTGGGCGGCTGCAAAATTTACATACCTACGGTGCAACGTGGGGTCATAGACTTTGCAGCCGCCCGGGGGGGGCAGGCTGCGCAAACAATACTACACAGCAAGTTGCGTCGCGATGCCATGTTTCTGTGCGCGGCGCGCCACAGACTCAAGGGGCCTAAACGGAGATGGAAACAACATGCATGGGGGCAACAGCAGGGGAGAGGGGAGCACAAGACCAAGATAAAGAAAGATAAGAGGATTGTACCCTGCTGCTCCACACAAGCCCCACACAGTTGTTGGTCTTGTGGTCCCTGACCTCAGCCCTCATTGACAGCGATGATACGGATATGTACATGTGGAACACGACGACGACACCCGCTAAGTTGAACAGCGCGGTTCGCGAGCCACCACGGATACAGAAAACTGCCCCCTGCACGGTATGAATCTGGAACGTGAGTGTACCAAGGGTCGGTGAGGATGTTTGCACGCCGCTTCTGCGGAGCTCGTGAACAGGATATGGGTGAAGGCGCTGAGCACAGCATTCTACACGCCGCTGCTCTGAGCAGGATCCGAGCGTGTCTTGCTTTGACTGTTGCGCGTAATGGGGTCGCGCCGGTGCTTTTTTGGGGGTAGCAGATTCCCCTGTGACGCACAGCCGGCCAGTGCGCATCAATATCTGCAGCAGCAACAGAAGGTTACCGTTACGTCATGGCGCGGGCATACATGCCAGAGTGGTCGACCCATCGGACGGCCCCGTTCTGAGCGTCCAGGGACAAACGTATGATCTGGATCTCGATCGCCGTCCTGCGGTCGGCCGTGCACGCAGCGCTCTCGCTGTGTAGATGATTGCACAACGATCGGACGACGATTTGGCATCGCAGATACTCAACAATTGCTGTAGTTCCTGGTTGGGATGTCCTGTCCAGCCAGCTACAAGCAGACCTCTGTGACGCGCGCGCGACGCCGAATTGACGATGTTGAACGAAGGCATTGTGAATTCTTCGAACAAACCACGGACCCATTCGACTTTTTCTCGGGTTTCCGATATAGCTTGCACTTTCTGCCGCGAGTGCCGGCTACAATTCGCGGCAAGCGGCGGGACTTGTACGCCACCAAAGCAACGGGAGATGCTTTGTACTCCCACACCGCTGGGGTCGCCGCCCCGACCAAGGAAGCTCCTCGGCTCTTGTCGCCAGCGGCGTTGGCTTAAGAAGCGTCCTGGATAGTAACCCATCGTAACATATGCGGTGGCACGCGGGGAATCATAATGCCGAGTTTGGGCTCCTTCGTCCATGATAACCACACAATGATTCGCGTCACACACGCTTTGCACCGTGTTCACACGGATCCTTGCCTGACCACTGGAAGCGACCCCGGTGACATCTGGACGCGTCTCTCTCTCTCTCTCTCTTTCTCTCTTTCTCTCTCTCTCTCTCTCTCTCTCTCTCTCTCTCTCTGCGAACACCTATTTACACCACCCCATACAGCCCGTAGCTGGGACTGCTCGCTGTCAGTCGTAGGGTCAGTTTTGTTAGACTTGCGCCCTTTGGGTATGGTGATCGGGGAAAGGCGTTTTACGACGAACTTCGCATGGTGGATGTAAAATCCGTAGTCTCTGTGCCGGTGCATGGCACGCCCAGCATCATCACAGCCGCCACAACAGATAATCTTACACTTACCAAACGGAAACTGTTGTTGCAGACATCGTTTTTTCTCGTCGTGGACGTGGTTACCGCCAGCAGTAATATCATCAACTTCGATAAGCAGATGCCCATATGGGCTTACGGGAATCACCAAACAGAAAACACACATATCGTAGCATGACCTACGGCACGCAAAATCTGCTATTGCACGTACCAACGTCCTGCGGCAGGCGGCCGGCGCATCGACGGGCCCATACACGGTGCGGTTGAGCTGGATCACAAACCCGGCCTCCACCCAGGCACCGCCCTCGAGACGAATTCCCCCAAGAGGAAGAGAGGCATGCAACTTACCACGCGGTGTGCCGCCGTGGTCCTTATCGCTCTGCACGAAGGCCGTTTTCAAATCACTAAATACCACTTCGCGCTGTAAAGACGCAGCAACAAGTAATCAGTCGTACACGTTAGATGTCTGAGGCGTCGAACTTGCTCTCGCTAGCTCCACGATGTCGGGGCCCCTGTACCCCAACACACAACACCGGCATCTTGCAATTTGGGAGGACCCCAAACATTTGAATACACGTACCGAGATGGAGGGATACGGTCAGGGCGGCGCTTGCAGATATCCTGAGCAGCCCGTGGAGATGATGATGACAGCTCCCCTGGGTAATACAGACGCCCGCCCCTTCACAGTCGCCTGGTGGAAACGCGGACACTGAGAATGCGGTATTCTATTTCGTGGTATCTCGCTTCTGCGCTGCATTGTGGTCGTTGACAACCCTGTCGACTTGTCACCCCCCGACAATACTCTGTACAAAATATTGTCCGTGGTCTCGCCGAACACATCTGCAACCTCGCCTTCGTAGAACAATGTTGGTGCACCCGTGCTCTCCCACATTGCCTCCTCCACTGACCTCCTCCACCATCCATGGCAATCGTCATCGCGTTCGTCGCCCCCGTCGCGTGCGTCGAGATGATGATGGCATGGCGTAGGTAGTGTTGTGGAAGTAGAAGGTGGCGCACCCGAAGTCGCCTGGCCTGCAAGCAAGTCAGAAGAAAAAACGGCAGGTTTCCAGGCCTCCACCTTCTCGCGGTAGTGAACGCAAACTGCTCGAAGGATGGCCGTCCAAACGGTCGATTGCTCCAGGAGCAGACAGATCGACTCGCGGTCGTTGAGATCACCCTCCGAAGGCGGAGGGTCGTTTGCAACAGCTGGAGCCGTGCTGGCTGTCGGCGGGGTAGACGAAGTAGGCGCCCGTGGGCGAGCAACACCATCGGGTTGGAGAACATCCCGGAAATTGTTGTTATCAGCCTGGCTGGTTTCTAGCTCCCGCTGCGGCTGGGCAGCCAACGGCGGCGCTGGAGGCGGCGGCCCGTGTGGCGGCATGCGTTCGCCAACATCGTCTCCTGGGGGATCTGCAGCAGGCGCTGGCATGTTCGTAGCATGTGGGTCTCTTTCGCGCTCTACATCGACGCATGTCTTACGGGAAATCCGCACGCATGTCGTCGAGCAACATGTTTTGAATCTCCGAACCACGGGACTCCTCAGTAGCAGCCGATGTGCACGAAAGCTGGCTGCACTTCCACAAAGCCTCACACATATTGATCCACTGGCGACCTCTATGACTACCGATGCACACTCCTGGACCGACCTACTTGCCACGACTGGAAGGAGGATGTGTTTTCCACACCATCGCGACGTCATCTGCTCGGAAAGGGGTCTGGACACGGGGCCGTGCACGGACAGCCTCCTCGATGCGACCTCTGATGGAGTCCTCCGCGTGCGTTTTCGTTGCAGCCTCCCGGATACGCCAGGGTTCCTCGAACCTGGGGTCCGACGCTGCTTGGTCATAGATGGCATCTGGGACGTAATGTCATCGCTGGCGAAGTCAGCAAGAAAGCGGTGGCCTATGCCGAAAGACCGCTGTAGCGGCGAGTACCCTGACCGGTTGCCCGGCCTGTCCTTGACAGCGCTGCACCCAAAAGATCAAACGACAAAAAACTGCAGAATCCATGTGAGAATGTTTGTTTTAAAAGCCTCGCTCAGAATCTTCTTGAAGATGCCCCCGCAACGTTCCGCGCGGCCGCTTTGCCACGGCGCCCGGGCGTCAGTACTAGTCAGATGAACAAGGATGTTGTTTTGCGCGCAAATGTCCTTGAAAGCCTGGCCGAAGAATTTTCCACCTTGGTCTGCTATGACAACAAGCGGCGGGACGAGAGATTTCGCACCCAGTGGTCCACTACGCAAGCAGCAACAACCTCGGCCGTTTTATCTTCTACTGGGACGCCTAACCGGTAGAGAGTAAGTACACCAGCAGACCATGTTGCAAATGATCATTTTGGAGCCGCTTGGGCAATCCAGCCTTAGAAGATCGACGCCGACAGTCTCATTGACGCGGAACGCTCGTGGCAAAAACGCTGGTGGTCGAGGGTTGGGCATTCGGCTTTTAGCGTCACACGCAGGACCATGGAAGTGTTTCCGCACGTACTTGAGCACGTGACGCCTCGCCCGGTTCAGCCGGAAAACGCGTACAAATTCCCCCCTATTTGGACGGCCGCAGATGCGTGCTCCTCCGTCAAAGGCTGCGTTGATGTTTCGACGTATTGCTCGTCGGCCTGCTGGTCGTCAGCCTACTGGGCGTCAACTGACGATGGGTCTTCTTGGGCAAACGCGTCTTCCGCCGATGGACAGACCAACCCAAGCGCTGAGCTCAGCACTCCAGGCCAATTCCGCAGAAGGCGCGCGCCTCCAGTCAGACTGGCCAGCAGGTACACGCGACCTTCCCGTGGCAGGGCGACCTCGTCACCCTCGCGCCACTCCCCGTGTTCAACCAACTAAAAGAACAAACGCGGGTCAAACATGACGAAATGTTCAAAATATCCACAACAAGAACGGTGATGACCACTACTGTTACTGCCATTGCTACTAATTGCATCGTATCCGGACGACTTCAAAATATTTTTTTGATTTTCTAAGTATTGAAAAAATGGTGGACGTCGCAATGGCAATCCGTCAGGAATATAGTAGACAACAAGCGCTCGGTCGGGAGGCCACAACGCGGAACTTGCTAGGTAAATAACCAGTTCTGGCACATCACTCCCCCGCACAATCTCGCACGGCCGAGCGCGCATAGAAGACATAACAAATGCAACGGGGGAGATGGGAGGCACAAGAAATGAAGATGACGATGGCGAGGTAGATGGAGTAGTAGGTGGAATGGAGCCGTTGCTTGTTACATGTCGTGGTCGCTGGGGCTGTGGTCTGGTACTGGCAGCACCCAGCCAGCAGGCACTGTTGGCGCAAGCGCGGCGCGGTCGGTCGATGTTGTCGGCGACGGCAGGGCCCCAGTGAATGCGCCGGCGCTGGGCAGGTATTGGAGTTGTCGCCGAAGGTGCTGGGTGTTGGACTTGTTTCCAGTGTTTCTGGAGGTCCCCCGGCGTCAGTGTCGATGCGGGGCCCGACTGGCATAACCCAAACGCGACTCCTACATGTCCACGATCACCTCCCGAAGCACCACCGACCGAGACGTGCGGGCGAGGTCCAGCCGATCCGTTCCCGGAGCCAGGCGCCGAGCTCAGCACTCTGGTCGGGGCTTCCTGCCAGCCGCACTCCAGATCTTCCCCTGGAAAAGGCTTTTACGAACGTGCAGGCCCGGTCTGCTGTGTTCCAGCCATCATACCGTAGGATTGTTCTGGTTTGTGTGTCGAACCTGTGAAACCCACACTGACACCGAGGGCACTCGTCCATCTTTTCCGGGGCGTCGCTGTGGATATCCTGACCTGTTTGCCCCAGAGATCCCCTGGTTTTGGTTTGTCTGGTGCGTTTCTTGGCCCCAGCGGCCAAGGCCCGCGCTGTGGGGACGCACGCCAGAATGCCCCCACTGACCCCCTTCTTGGCGTCGCAGATCAGCTGTTGCGGGCACAGGTTCGAATGCCAGCGCTGCATTTCGACTGCGTGGCGGCACTTTTGCTCCCGCATTCGCAACGAAACTGAGCGCCACCGTGAAAACACGGCCTGCCACGCCGCGTCCGCGAGGACGACGAAGCAGAGCACAGCGAACCGCCTCAACCTTATCCGTCGCAGGTTGACTTGTTCTGGTGGCGCTGGCGCCTTTTCCTCCTCCCATGGCTCGGCCCGGCGGCGCGAGCCTGGCCACATTTGCCACGGGCTGGGCACGCAAGAACTCACTTACTGACTGCCCAACACACGCTCTGGCCGAAGATTGCGTCGAACCGCTGGGGCCCTGGACCTTCACATTGGAGAGGAAGCAACTGAGCGCGGCAGGACCCGAAGGGGGAGACGAGGTAGACGTCGTCTTGGGGGAAGGCGCACACAAAGACGAGAAGGAGAGGTAGTCAGTCGTAGGAGTGCGTGAAAACGAGGTACGACGACGAAGATGATGGACATGATGGTGATGAAAATGATATTTCGGTTCCAAGCTCCATCGGCGAATACGCCGTCCCCTTCTCGACACGCAAGTCGCCGTCTACCATGGTTGACAGTGTTCCCCACCCGTCTGCAGCGAACTCCGTCAGACTGTGCGACAAGCGGCCCGTGGGCAGCCGCTTCAGGGCGGTGCTCTTGTTCAGGTGGGGCAGCTCCATGGTATAATCTGGCAGGTTCACCGCGGCGCCCAGCGCGCGGAAGAGGTTGACCAGAGTCAACGGCGGAACAGCAAGGTTGTCGATGATCGTCCACTCGACGAGGCCGTTCACGCAACAATACCACACGGCACATCCACGCGCCCGAGCACCTTGGCACGAACTCCCACGCCGACGGCTGCGCCAAGCCTGGAGCTCACAACGGGCCTCAACCCGCGCTCGTTGCACAACGTCTTCTCGCGTTCACGGAACGCCAAGCTCTCGCCGGGCGTCGCCCCGAGACCCCCCCACGGCCCCTGGCCGCGTGCCCGGGCAGCTGGCGCCCGCCGCAGAAGCTCGCCAATGCTGCCGACCTCCACGTACGCCGCCGCAGCGCCACTCGCAGCAAGGGGCGCACAATCGACGTCGACGTCGCGGCTGCACGGGCACTTGTTGCCAGCGTAGCGCGCCTCCCCTGCGCTGGTCCACTCGCAGAGCGTCTCGGCCTTCCTGTTCCCCCGCCGGCAGCGGCGTTTCCCGGCATTCGCCTGCGGGCCCAAGACCTTCTCGGGCACGCCCCACTTCCACCGCGGCCCCCAGCGGTCGCAAAGCCAGCCTGCGCGGGGTCGCGCCGCCAACTGTCTGTACGGAAGTCGTCCTTCTCTACGCGGTGTATCTTGCGGTACTCCAACTCGTCCGCGGCGTCGTCGTGGACCGAAGAATGGGCGACCTCAATATCCTCGCCACGGGTGTCCTGCGACCTCGGAGGTGGCGAACTCCTCCTCGACGTGGCCCCCGAGGCCGCCCTTCAGGACGTAGTCGCCCCCCCGCAGCACCG